ACACCCCCCGGGAAGATGCTACCTCTCTCTTCACCTGCATAACCCCCACAGAGGCACCTAAAACCGTGAGAAAACGGTTGCTACTAGACAACACCCTAGGCAGCAGAACAGAACTTAACACAGTGCCCTATTGGACCTATGCCTGAGTACCACCTATATCAAGTACAAGGAGAAGTTCTACAGGGCCATGGGATCGCCATTTTCACTTATTGTGGCAAACCTGTACATGGAGGAAATAGAAAGGTCCTAACCACCTTCAGGGGAATGGCACACAGTCATTGGTTCAGATATGGGTTGATATTCTCAAACAAGAGTTACAGGCTTTCACTGGTCATATCAACTTAGTGGATCACGTTTACATGGGAAGATATGCAAAACAACACACTGGCTTGCTTGGACTGTATGATAACACTAAAAGAGGGGGAAAGGCTGGAAATAGAGGTCTACAGAAAACCCATAATAGAAGTCACCAGCGCTTGATGATATGTGCAAGAAGTAAAGCACTTTTTATTAAATTGTCACATGCGTCATACACTGGTGGTCACTATGTCACCCAGAAGAAGGGACCCTGCGTGGCCCCGAAATGTTGGCTGTATGACGCATGTGACAATTTAATAAAAAGGCCGGAATGCACCATGTCTGGTGTGAACGAGGCCTTATTGTGTTGCATAGTCCAGAGTCTATTGCATTAGTGCATTGACCTGTATAATCAGTATATCTATATATCTATTTACACATATACATATATTGTTTTTATTTTTTAGTTTCGGGGGAAGGTGATGTAGGTGGATATGGGGGTCTGGTTTGGGGAGTGGGAGGGCAGGTGATGGTGGTGGGTGGGTTGTGTGGGCCCATCAGCAAAATCTTGCCCAGGGCCTACTTAATATTAAAGACGGCCCTGACTTTACATGACACACAGGGACCATGGGGGACAAAAGTAGCCACCCTAGTGATGGGCCGAACACCCCCCCTGTTCGGTTCGAACTTTAGAACATGGAAAAAGTTTGAATTCGAACTCGAACTCAATGTAAGTCTATGGGGGTAGAACTTTGAAAATCACATGTCCCCATTTTGAAGGCTTATATGCAATTTATTGGCCATAAAAAAGTGTATGGGGATGCGGGTACTGCCCTGGTGGACATGTATTGGGATCCGGGTACTGCCCTGGGGTACATGTATTGGGATCCAGGTACTGCCCTGGGGGAGATGAATCAATGAAAAAAACACTTTTAAAAAATAAAATTTTTAAAGGAGCAGTGATTTTAACATGACCTAAAGTGAAACAATAAAAATGAAAAATTCCTTTAAATATCGTGTCTGGGGGTTCCCCTTAAACTGCCTGTAAAGTGGCAAATCTGTACAATGTATAGAACCTGCTGCGGCAAAAAGTGACATTTATAAAGAAAAAAAAAGACATTTAAAAACAAAACAAAACCATGTCCGGTTCCCCCTCCCAAACAATACCACACCCTTTAGGTCTGGTAAGAATGTCAGAAGGGACCCCAAATTACAATGTAAAAAAAAAATCCTATATTTGGAAAAAAAGGAAAAGACAAGTATTTTATTTAAAAACAAAAAAAAACCAACCCCAAATAATGGATCTACCGACGTAATCCAGGGTCAATCACGACGTCCAGCGTTGTCCACGACGACTCGACAAATAAAAAATAAAACAATAAAAAATAAATAGAAATAATAATGAAAAAAAAAACGGCCGCCGTCCCGTCCACTCCCGCCGAACTCCCGCCGCGTAATGTCATTTTGACAGATGCCGGCAAAATATAAACAATTGGGCGGAGCTAGCGGTGAAAGCTACCTCACCCAACAGTTTACAGTTGTACGACATCTGACAGGTGAGCCATGATTGAGCAAAGTCATCATTACTTTGCACAATCTTACAAAGTACTGGGCCCCGATTGGGCAAAGTCTAGCACCTGACCTGTGGTCAGGCCAATCAGGGCTTCACAAGTCGCAGTGCCTTTGCGAACAGCCCGCCGAACACCCTGACAGTTTGTGTGTTCGCCTCCAACATTGAGCCCATGCCTAGTCAGCACCAAAATTTTAATAGGGCCCGATGTCAAACCCTTTAAAATCTAAATCAAGAACAGGTGACAGGAGAGCTGTCTGCATAGTCTCTTCCTGTACATCTGATATCCACTGTTCTGGATTGGAAATGTCATAAGGGGTACGGGGTCAACAGCAACTTCAGCAATCCTTCACGGGGGCCCCTTCCACCCCCAGGCCCCATAGCAGTCGAATGGGCTGCTATGACTATTGTTACGCCCCTGGCCATATAGTAGGTGTGCTGGTCAGGTGTCCACAAACCCTTGACAATATAGTATTTCAGGAAACATTATAACCTACAACCAACTGAAAGAAGCATTAGATACATTGCTTGAGAAGGGACAGGCCCTCTTTAAGCAAATCACAGTACCATTGGGAAGATTTTGAACACTTCCATGAGCCGAGGAAACACAAAGGCAGCAGAGTTTACACTCTGCAAAGGTAAT